TATTTTCTCCTGTTCTTGGTCTTTTGTTTGCATTTACAGATTACAACTTATCCAGACAATGAATGTGGATGCTCTCGAGGTTTTAAAAAGGATCCTCCGAGTCTCTCGCTCAACGTGCTGAAGGGTCTACAGTGATCCCAGCCTCGATCGGGCAGATGACCAGCTGGGCTGTGTTCTTCCCGTTGTCATGTATGCAGGGGTTAAAGTACGGATACAGCGGCTCAGTGAAAGTGAGCCCGCTGTAAGTATAAATGTGAGTCTTTGCCTCTGTGTTGTAGAAGGACACCGAGCCTTCTTCATAGTCCAGGAATATACCGACTTTCTGAGGAATTTCTTTAAGGTGAAGAGTGACGACGGGCCCAGCGCAGGCACACAGGCTACCACCGTTGCGTCGGCATATCGCCCAGTAACCGTTATCAGGGCGAACTGTGATGGCGCCCTTCCTGTTGATGGACTCCCGGGCCACCCCAAGATCCCAGTCTCTTTTATCCCCAACCTTGAAACACAAAGAAGGACAAAATGATGCTAAACGACAGAGCAGAGCTTCATTTCTTTAGGTTGCTTTTTAAATGATAATAAATTTTTACTGACAGTAAACACAGCAGATATAAAATCATAAATGAACATCATGTAGCCACCAGGGGGCGTGAAGAGTTTTATTTTCCTGCCTGTTTAGATCATATACATTATACAGTCCTAGTCACAGGTTGTGTCGTTGTGTTCATGTGTAATTTTCTTTGGTGTATTTCAATCCAAATCTTACTCTAAATAAAGCTGTTGTGTTCCACTTTGGATAATATTCACACTGATCACGACTATAAGCTGTTTAGCAGTTATTTATTTTATCCTTGTATCCTACCTGAACCACCCAGTAACGTTTCCCAGATGTGAAGCTTTGTTTTCCCAGCACGGCGACGCAGGAGTCGAACCTGCGGGGGTCGTCAGGTAGCGGGGTCCTCCCCTGCTGGTAGCTCATGCTCACCTGTGGATTGCCACGATCACATTCATACAACAACTACTGATGCCGTACTTGTCATTATTTTGCATCTGCCTGACTTCTGATCCACTAGTTTCCATCATTTTAGTTCCTGCATAATATTTGTCATCCATTAGCTGTTGTCTGTAATTCACAGACTCTAATTTCACAGACAAGAAATGCAATTTCTCAATAATAGGTGTTTTAATAAGTGTTTTCCCAATAATATTACAGGGCTAAACTGAACTAGTGTGTATAACTAACTAAGCAAATGACTTTACACTTAATTATACAAACAGCTGCACATGTATCAACACTTTGTTGGATCATTTTTTACAGCAGGACAAGACTTTGTTTAACTCCGAGCTCTTGTTAAGGTGTTACAGTCAGGAATCATGCAGCTGATAATTACAGCTCACCTTTTTATTATCCGGGGACAGGACCACCCAGCCAGCAGCAGTAGCAGGATCCAGAGTTACATCCACTGGAGACAGAAACAGAAAAAAACACATAAAAAGATTTGCTATTTCAGATTTATTC